AGGATCTCTGGACGAAGCTGGGAGGTCTCTATCAAAGCAAGTCACTCGTGAACAAGCTGTTCCTGCGAAGGAGGCTGTATAATCTGCGGATGAGCGAAGGTGATTCCTTTTCTGCACATTTAAATGAATTTAATACTATTTGTGCACAACTTTCTTCTATAGACATCAACCTGGATGAGGAAGACAAAGCTTGCACCTTCACTGCCCAACTCTTGGGAGCACATCATTGTGTCAATTGGTACTGGTGTTAATAAACTATCGTTCGAGACGGTTGTTGCTGCCTTATTGTCTGAGGAGATGAGAATGGTAGGTTCTGAAGGTACTAGCAATGAGGCTCTGGTTGCTAGAGGAAGGAGTGGTGACAGATCAAAGTCTGGTCACAGAGGAAGATCGAGGGGATGATCAAAGTCCCGTGATAAATCTGATAAATTTGAAATGAGGCGTTGGAGGTGCAAACATGTTGGACATCTAAGAAGGAATTGCCGAAGTAAAAGCGTAGGTCCTGAGAAGCGGGATGATTCACAATCTTCTGCTTCGGGTACAAAGAAGGATGATGATGATAGTACAGGGGACCTGTACATGGCGTTTGACAGTCATAGTGACTGTAATGACTGGATTATTGACACTGGAGCATCGTTTCATATGACACCTCATAGGGAATGGTTCTGCACCTATGAATCATATTCTGGCGGTACAGTTAGAATGGGAGATGACACGACTCATGCAATAGTGGGGCGTGGGAAGGTAAAGTTGAAGATGAGTGACGGGACAGTCAAGAATCTGCCAGGTGTGATGCATATTCCGGGGCTTACCAGAAATCTGATCTCCGTTGGTAGTATGGCAGATGCTGGTATTAATTTTAGCAGTGACAAGTATTCTTGCAAGCTGACTCGAGGAGCTTTCGTTATTGCACGAGGAGAGCGTCATGGTAAATTGTGGAAACTGTTGGGTAGCACAGTATTCAGTGGTGAAAGCTATGTTTCAGAACAGGCGGAGGAGGACACTGCTATGTTATGGCATAGGAGGCTGGGGCATATTGGAGGAAAAAGTCTGGAGACTCTAACATCAAAGAAGTTAGTGGATGGAATTCCGAGCTGCTCTATGGGGTTTGGATTTTGCGAGCATTTCCTGCAAGGGAAGCAAAATCGGGTATCTTTTGATTCCATAGGAGGAAGAGCTGAGTGGATTCTGGACCTGATACACAGCGACGTGTTTGGCCCCACACCTGTAGCATCACATTGAAAATCAAGGTATTATGTTTCTTTTACTGATGATTTTTCAAGATATGTGTGGTTATATTTCTTGCGCAACAAGGATGAAGTGTTCGATAAACTCTGTGAGTTCAAGGCTTTGGTGGAAAATCAGTTTGATCAAAAAATCAAGGTCCTGAGAACTGACAATGGTATCAGAGCCGGGTTGGGTTCGAGCTAGCCTGGTGATTGGCTAGGAGGCGGGTTGAGTACTTGGGCCAGGAGTACTCGGTTGAGGGGGAGCATATCAATGTTGGGTTTCACACTTGAGGGGGAGATTGTTGAGATATTCAAGTGTGATGAGTTCCATATTGGTTGGTAATGAGCTAAGTAAAGAGTATATAAGTGGATGGACCCATGAACCCAATGCCTTAAGGTTTTGGGTTGAGATGTGGTGTCGGACCCACTTGGTATACTTGGTGTAGCCTTAGCTCATTGGTGGTGCCCCCGCCACGGGCTTCTCTTGGACCCGCCTGACAATGGTATCAGAGTCGGGTTGGACTCGAGCTAGCCTGGTGATTGGCTAGGAGGCGGGTCGAGTACTTTGCGCTTGGGGTACTCGGTTGAGGGGGGAGCATACCAATGGTGGGTTTCACACATAAGGGGGAGATTATTGGGATATTCAAGTGTGATGAGTCCCACATTGGTTGGTAATGGGCTAAGTGAAGAGTATATAAGTAGAAGGGACCCATGAACCCAATGCCTTAAGGTTTTGGGTTGAGATGTGGTGTCGGACCCACTTGCTACGGTTGGTGTAGCCTTAGCTCATTGGTGGTAGCTCCCCGCCACGGGCTTCCCCCTGGACCCGCCTGACAATGGAGGGGAATTCTGTTCAACAAAATTTGACCAGTTTTGTGCGAGCAATGAGATTGTAAGATAGAAGACTACACCCTACTCACCTCAACAAAATGGGGTGGCAGAAAGGTTGAATCGATCTCTCATGGAGAAAGCACGGAGTATGCTGAGTGGTGCAGGCTTGGCAGCTGAGTTTTGGGCGGAGGTGGTGGCTACTGCTTGTTATCTGAAGAATAGATCTCCTATATCGGCCTTGAAGGAGAAGACTCTGTATGAAACACTGTTTGGAAAAAGGCCAGACGTATCTCATGTCAGAGTGTTTGGCTGTGAAGCATATATGCACGTACCCAAGGAGAAAAGAAGCAAGCTTGACAGTAAATCTGAAAAGTGTATCTTTATTGGGTACAAGGATGGCGTCAAAAGTTATAAGTTGTGGAATCCGGATACTAGAAGTGTAACTTACAGCAGAGACGTTGTATTCAGGGAATCTAAGTTGAATCAAATTTTTCCTGAAGCTCCTGAAAAGTCACAGACGATGGAGTTGGATGTGGGTTTGAAAGAGGATACAGTAAACTCACAAGTTGAACTGGGAAATTTGAATTCTGAAGCTGCTGAATATAACGAGGTAGAGGACGAATTTTCTGAAACCGAGGCTGAGGTTGAAGCACCAGTGCTGAGGAGATCCACGAGGGAAAGAAGACCATCTGAGAGGTATACACCTGAAAATTATATCCTGTGTGCTAGTGATGATGTTTGTGCATTTAGTATTACAGGTGATGATCCGAGCACTGTAAAACATGCGAGGAGCTCGGAGGATGCCAAATAGTGGGAGGAAGCTATGAAAGAAGAGATGAAATCTCTGATGAAAAATCAAACTTGGAGTTTGGTAAATCTACCTGCAGATCGAAAAGCAATTGGTTGCAAGTGGGTGTTCAAGAAGAAGGTTGGTGCCAATTGGGAGATTGAGCGCTACAAGGCTCGATTGGTTGCAAAGAGATATTCACAGACAGAAGGGGTTGATTATGGTGAGGTATTTTCACCTGTTGCAAAGTTAAATTCCATAAGACTGGTTTTGTCTGTAGCAACTGCATATGACCTAGAGGTGAAGCAGCTGGATGTGAAGACGACTTTCCTTCATGGTGATTTGGAGGAGGTTATTTTCATGACGCAACTAGAGAGGTTCATTGCAAGAGGCAAAGAGGAGCTAGTCTGCAAGCTGAATAAATCTTTGTATGGCCTGAAGCAGTCCCCGAGGATGTGGTACATGAAGTTCGACACTTATGTGCTGAAGCTTGGCGTTGTGATGCTGATCACTGTGTTTATGTGAAAAGGTTAGAAGGTGACTTTGTTATTCTAACTTTGTATGTTGACGACATATTACTCGTTGGAAACAGTTTGAAGATGATCAGAACTGTTAAAGGACTGCTAGCAAAGCAGTTTGAAATGAAAGATCTAGGCGCTGCAAATGTGATCTTGGGTATGCAGATTAAGAGGGAGCGTGACAAAAGAAGATTATGGTTAAGTCAGCAGAAGTACATAGAAGATGTTCTGAAGAAATTCAAGATGACTGACTGCAAGCCTGTGTTGACTCCCATGTCTACTGGTTCTAAGTTATCGGCTGACCAGTGTCCCAAGACTGAAGAAGAAAAAGAAGAGATGGCGTCAGTTCCTTATGCTAGTGCTGTTGGGAGTCTGATGTATGCCATGATTTGTACTCGACCTGATATTGCTCAAGCAGTGGGAGTATTGGGCAGGTATATGTCCAAGCCAGGAAATGAGCATTGGACGGCTATGAAGCGTGTGTTCCGTTATCTTCGTGGTACGTCTGACCTTGGGTTATTCTATGAAGGCGTGAAGGGCTCAAGGGGACAGGCATTACTAGAGCTGAGATGCTTTGTGGATGTTGATTGGGGAGGTGACATTGATAGTAGAAGGTCTACAAGTGGATATGTTGTTTCTTTATTTGGCGGAGCTATCAGTTGGATGAGTAAGAGACAGAGCACTGTTGCTTTATCTTCTACAGAGGCTGAGTACATGGCGTTGACACATGCTGTTAAGGAGGCTATTTGGTTACGGAGGTTGTGCAAAGAGCTTGGCTTTGTACAAGGAGAGATGATCGTTGGGTGTGACAGTCAAAGCGTCGTTTTGTTGGCTAAGAACCCAGGTTTTCATGCTAGGACCAAGCATATCGGCATACAATATCACTTCATCAGAGAGAAGATTGAAGACAAGGTTGTATTGCTGGAGAAGGTTGACACAAAGGTCAACAATGCTGATTTTCTGACCAAGGCAGTGACTTCAGAGAAGTTTGAATGGTGTACAGCTGCATTGGGATTGAAGAAACATGTGAATCATTCACCAAGTGGGAGAATATTGGATATGGCTCATACTTCGCATGTTGATGAAGACCCTAGTTGTCGGGGTCAGCAGAAAGGCAACTGAGGTATGCCTTGTAAACCGAGTGACTTGTAACGAGTGGCGGTGAGGTGAATATAGTATAGACTAACTGGACGTAGCCTATATTTGATGAACCAGGATAAATTGCTATGTCTAATCTCTCTACTCTTATCACTTTTTTCTGTTTTCTTGATTCTGTGTGATCGTCGATTTCCAACATCTGCCAAGTGAGATTTTAATCTGTTGGATTTGGAAAATTGGGTTGTTACGGGAAAAAAGAAAAAGAAGAAGGTATTCTCCAGACACATATATGGACATATCAGAAGTGTGAAGTGATACAATAAATTATTTATTGAAATGATACAAGAAAATATAAGAAATTAAAATAGGCAAGGATTGCATAAACAGCCTGCAGAACAGCAAGAGCAGACGCCACTATAACAATAAGGTTGTGGTTGCACTTGACAATGAAATAAGAAATTAATTAAAGGTCACAAATCAGAATAGATAATGGTTTCCCCTTTGCAGACAAAAGGATTGAAAACACAAAGACTTTGATCAATGAGCATGACTGGGACGATAATAGGGGAGGATTGCATAAATAGTCTGCGGAATAGCGAGAAGAGATAACAATATAGCTGCAAAGTTATAGCCACTCCCCATAAATTCGATGAACTGTTCTGCTCGGAATCTGAAATCATGCCACCATATTTTGCAGATTCTTATGAAAAAATTTGCTCTGGAGTAATTGTTCAAATCATTAAATATTTTAATATATCTGGAATCAACTATTTCATGGTCAACTCCCCTTGATATTGTACTGAAATAGGTCTCTAGCTTTTTATTGCCCATCTTCAAATGATCCACAATAATATCATTGTCCTTCAGAAGTTGAACATCAGCCCCACAACATATCAAGCTATCAAAAAACATTGCAGACCAAGTACACTTGCCGCTGAAGGCACTTGTGCTCTTCCATTTCTTTTTGTGATGTTCCAAAGCAATGAAATTGCGCCATCTGGCTTGTGTTGTTCCCGTGATATGCAGCTGTGGAATTTCTAGTTTCCCGTTGTTGAATTTTATGTCAAAGTCTAACTTTGTCTTTTCCACATCAAGCATGTTCACATGCCTATTCACGAGCATATTCCCAAACCATATCAGCATACGACCAAAACAGTTCCCTTGCAGAATGACATGCCTTCTTCTATCCCTATCTGGGAGTGTGATAGTAACCCCAGCAGCTTTGAGCCTTGTTGCACAACACTTCAGTTTTACCTCAACATGACTCTTGACAACATGTGATAGGTATTGCTGAGTTTCCTGAATCTGCACTACTTCCTCACCATTTACTTTGATAGCTTTGTCTATGATTGAGTGGACAAGTTGAAGAAAGTGAGGGGCACGATGTGCATCAGGGTTCCCAAACTGAGAGTGGCCAAAGAGAGACAAGGCAAGATCATTAATTCTTGTCACCCTTTGTTCATGAGCCTCTGTGAACTCATTGGGGAAAAGTGTTTGAGACAACTCGTGGAGAACGATAAGTGGTATCTGGTTCTCTAACAGTAACAGATCAGACAAGATCTCTTTGTCTTTAACCACTTCAGGTCCGGGACTAGGATACTTGGAGCTGCTTTTTAGTTCATGATTCAATTTCAAATCGTTGGATATGAGAAGCTCTAGCAAAAAACACCCATCCACTAACATAACGTTGGTGAGTTTATTAGAGTAGCATTAATTTGTTAGGATCCTGATTGTAACTATCACGGTTTGTTACCTTGTATATTAAAATAGATTAGCTTGATTTATGCTTTCTGTTCCTTAGTTTTAGCTGATTTCCTGATGTAAATAGATTAGCTTGATTTATGCTTTCTGTTCCTTAAGTTTAGCTGATTTCCTGATGTAAATAGATTAGCTTGATTTATGCTTTCTGTTCCTTAAGTTTAGCTGATTTCCTGATGTAAAATAGATTAGCTTGATTTATGCTTTCTGTTCCTTAGTTTTAGCTGATTTCCTGATGTAAATAGATTAGCTTGATTTATGCTTTCTGTTCCTTAAGTTTAGCTGATTTCCTGATGTAAATAGATTAGCTTGATTTATGCTTTCTGTTCCTTAAGTTTAGCTGATTTCCTGATGTAAATAGATTAGCTTGATTTATGCTTTCTGTTCCTTAAGTTTAGCTGATTTCCTGATGTAACCAATTGTAAATCTTGGTCTATATAATAGACCCAATTTGATATATCATCAAGCTGCGAATGACAGCAACTTCTGTTATGGTATCAAGAGCTTGACGATCAACAAGCCTTCATTTTTTTTTTTTTCATCATGACTTCCGCACCTAAAACCTTCAAGGTTTCTGATTCTAAGTCACCCTTTTACCTGCACCCATCCGACAATCCTGGTGCTGTTCTCACCACGGTCATCCTCCGTGGACAATCCAATTATGAAAATTGGGCTGCTCATACTTCTCTGCCTTCGGTTCCTTCTGAGCCGTCATCAGCATCCATCTCCATGGCAGATTTTACACCAGAAGTTCTACAACATCTCATGTCCTTGGCTGTCTCTTCTGCCCCTCCAGTTGATAAACTTACGGGTAAGATTTTACACCCATCTTGGATCATCGACAGTGGTGCATCCCAACACATGACGGGCACACTCTCCTATCTATCCAATGTGCATTCTATTTCTCCTTGTTCTGTGGGACTGCCGAATGGAGTTCATGATATTGCTACGCAATGTGGCAGCATTACTTTGGGCTCTTCTCTTCATCTCTCCAATGTTCTTTATGTCCCTTCGTTGGCTTGTAATTTGATTTCTGTATCTCAGCTTCTGCGCCAGTCTTGCTTGGCATTGTTTGTTAATTCTGTTTGTTTGATACAGGACCTAAAGCAGAAGAGGACGATTGGAACGGGTGTTGAACGAGAAGGGGTGTATATATTGTGTGCATCATCAGCTTCTGCTCATGTTGCCAGTACGTCAGATTCTGCAGCACTATGGCATCGTCGTCTAGGACATCCATCTTCCCGTTATTTATCTTTGTTACCTTTTATTTCCAATGCAAACAATTTGGCTCCTTGTGACGTTTGTTGTAAAGCCAAACAACCACGAAGTCCTTTTCCTATTAATAATAAACGTTGTTTACATCCTTTTGATTTACTTCACTGTGATATATGGGGGCCATATCATATGGCATCTACAACTGGTGCCCGCTATTTTTTATCTGTAGTCGATGATTTTAGTAGACATGTTTGGATTTTTTTGATGCGCAATAAAACTGAAACTTCCACATGTTTACTTCGGTTTCTCCACTTGGTTCGCACCCAATATGATGCATCTGTTAAGCGAATTCAGAGTGATAATGGGACTGAATTTTTGTCATCTGTAGTCCAAGAGGCTCTCTCATCCTACGGTATTCATCATCAATTATCATGCACTTACACCCCACAGCAAAATGGACGCGTTGAACGTCGTCATCGTCACATCCTCAACGTGGCTCGTGCTTTGCGTTTTGATGGTCACTTACCTATATCTCTTTGGGGAGAATGCATCTTGACCGCTGCTCACCTCATCAACAGGACACCAACTCCACTCCTTGGTGGTCAGTGTCCCTATGAAGTTTTGCATGGCACTCCACCAAAGTATGATCACTTACGGGTCTTTGGGAGTTTATGTTACACTACTGTTTTACCCAAACCACATGACAAGTTCGCTCCTCGCTCCCGTAAGTGTGTGTTTGTTGGCTACCCTTTCAACAAAAAAGGATGGAAGGTCATGGATATCTCCACTCATGAAATATTTGTTTCTCGTGATGTTTTATTTCATGAAACTATTTTTCCATTGGCTGCAACTTCATCTGCACCTTCTGTCCATGTACCGTCACCACAAGCTGTCTTCACCGATTATGATGTGGCACCTGTTACTGCTATTGATACTCCCACAGCGGAGCTTGATGACAGGGGGAGTTCGTCCTCCCCAGTTCCGGGTTCTATTACTTCATCCACGGATGTCCCTGGTTCACCGGTTCCGTTGACAGAACCCAACACTGCATCTGTGGCAGATATTCGTGAACAGCGTGCCAGACGTCCCCCATCTCATTTAAAGGATTATGTATGCAACACAATGACTACACCCTTTCCTCGTCTCTCCACTTCTCCAATCGACTCAGGTATTCAATATTCCATTGATCATTATGTTTCTAATGCATTATTTTCTTCGCACCATCAGATTTTTCTTGCCGCCGTGGATAGTAACCTGGAACCCAAATCATTTAAAGAGGCTATGCAATATCCTCATTGGCAGAAAGCCATGCAAGCCGAAATTGATGCATTGGAAGCCAATCATACTTGGCAAATTCAACCTCTCCCTTCTGGTAAGAAAGCTATTCCATGTAAGTGGGTGTACCGCATCAAGTACAATTCTGATGGAACCATTGAACGCTATAAAGCGCGTCTGGTTATTGCTGGGAACAATCAGATCGAAGGAGAAGATTACACTGAGACTTTTGCACCGGTGGCTAAAATGACAAGTGTGCGTACATTTTTATCTGTAGCTGTAGCTCGAAAATGGAGCATTTTTCAGCTGGATGTTCAAAATGCCTTTCTCCATGGCGATTTGGATGAAGAAGTCTTTATGCGTTTTCCTCCCGGTTTCTCCCAAACCAAGTCTGGTCACGCCTGTAAGCTTCAACGTTCACTTTATGGTCTCAAGCAATCCCCACGAAATTGGTTTGCTAAGCTTCGTAGTTCTCTCCTCAGTTTCGGCTTTGTTCAGTCTCGTGCTGATTATACGTTGTTCACTTACTCGACTGGTTCCCATTATGTTGCTATACTTGTCTATGTAGATGATATTTTGTTGGCAGGTAGTGATCCTTCTCTCTGTGACCGTGTCAAAGCTCATTTACAAACCTGGTTTAAAATCAAAGATCTTGGTCCCCTCAAGTATTTTCTTGGCATTGAATTTGCTCGAAGCAAGACCGGTTTGTTTCTTACTCAACGCAAATTTGCTTTGGATATTCTTAAGGAATGTGGACTTCAAAGTTGTAAACCGGTTGCTTATCCTATGGATCCCAATCACAAGCTTGCTCTTGCTGAAGGACCTCCGTTTGATGATCCTAAACGTTATAGACGTATTGTTGGCCGTCTTGTATATCTCACGATTACACGACCAGAACTTAGTTATGCAGTTCACACACTTTCTCAGTTTTTGCAGCATCCTATGCAGATACATTACGATGCGGCTATTCGTGTTCTTCGGTACATTAAGTCCAATCCTGGCCAAGGACTCCTTCTTCGATCTGACAGTGATCTTCTTCTTCGTGCCTATTGTGATTCGGATTGGGCTAGTTGTCCCTTGACTCGAAAATCAGTCACTGGTTATTTTGTTACTCTTGGACATTCTCCTATTTCTTGGAAAACCAAGAAGCAAAACCCAATATCCCGCTCCTCTGCTGAAGCTGAATACCGTGCCATGGCAGCTGCGACTTCTGAGCTTATTTGGTTAAAGTCTTTTCTCAGCTCTCTTGATATTCCTCATGCAGCCCCTATGCAACTGTTTTGTGACAGTCAGTCTGCTATTCATATTGCTTCTAATCCAGTGTTCCATGAGCGTACCAAGCATATCGAGTTAGATTGCCATTTTGTTCGGGACTATCTTCTCAGCAAGACTATTTCTACTCAACATATCCCCACTAGTTCTCAACCCGCAGATATTATGACCAAAGCACTTGGATCCAAACAATTCGATTTTTTGACTTCCAAGTTGGGCATCTCCTCCCTCCATGCTCCACCTTGAGGGGGAGTATTAGAGTAGCATTAATTTGTTAGGATCCTGATTGTAACTATCACGGTTTGTTACCTTGTATATTAAAATAGATTAGCTTGATTTATGCTTTCTGTTCCTTAGTTTTAGCTGATTTCCTGATGTAAATAGATTAGCTTGATTTATGCTTTCTGTTCCTTAAGTTTAGCTGATTTCCTGATGTAAATAGATTAGCTTGATTTATGCTTTCTGTTCCTTAAGTTTAGCTGATTTCCTGATGTAAATAGATTAGCTTGATTTATGCTTTCTGTTCCTTAAGTTTAGCTGATTTCCTGATGTAACCAATTGTAAATCTTGGTCTATATAATAGACCCAATTTGATATATCATCAAGCTGCGAATGACAGCAACTTCTGTTAGAGTTCATACCTGTTTGAAATATAATATAAAAATTATTTATATACATTCACTCAACAACCACTTATGTTTTTGGAAATGTTGATGTATGACATGGCATAAGAGATTTTATGATGAAGTTGTGGTTTAGAAATCAATTCTTACTATCCTATTCTTCTAATCAAAAGTGAAATTTCAATTCAAAATAAATGAATGAATGCATTGTTCAGCTTGTGCTTGCAATTGAAGCGTCAATCAATAGTTTCATATTATATTCATCTGACACACTAACCTCTCACATCAAAATATTTTGAACTTGAAACGTGAATATTGCACTAAGTTTATTTTTCTATTCTACCTTGTGTTGCTTTAATTCCACAGGAAATTTTGGAGCGATGATGATCAAACTTATAACTCCATGATCACTTGGTTCTTATACCATGGTAAACAATTAATTCAACTCATCAGCTTAAGTTTCCATGTGAAGTGCCAATTAATCAATGGTTTTATTTTATATATTTCTAGCAAATTAAGCTTTTGAGGACTTACTTGGAG